CCCCGACGTGATTTTTACACATCCTACACTGCTGGTGACTTTGGTCAAGTTAGGATGGGAAATCAAGGGATGGCTAGTGTTGTGGGCATTGAAGACATTTGGTTGGAAACCAATACTGGCTGCAAGTTGTTACTCAAAGATGTTAGGCATATACCTCATATACGTCTACACTTGATCTCTACAGGTACTCTTAATGAAGAAGACTATCACAATTACTTTGGAGATGGTAAATAAAAGCTCTCCAAAAATTCCTTAATTATTGTTAAAGGAAAGAAGATGAGTCTTTACATGTCACAAGCTAAAGTGATCAAAGGGGAGGTTATTCTTTAATTATTGCTAAAGGGAAGAAGATGAGTCTTTACATGTCCCAAGCTAAAGTGATCAAAGGGGAGGTGAATACAATTGAAGATTGCTCTAGTGGTTTATGGTATAAACAGCTTGGAAATTTAAGTAAAAAAGGCCTTGGTATCCTTGTCAAGAAGAATTACCTTCCATTAAAAGGTATGAACTTGAACATATGTATTTATTATTTAGTTGGTAAACAACATAATGTTGTGTTTCAAAGATCATATTCACATAGAAGATCACATATTCTTGATCTAGTTCATATTGATGTTTACTTTATGATTAATAAGTCTCTTAAAGGTGTATTGTACTTTGTTAGTTTCATTAATGATCACTCCAAGAAAGTTTGGGCTATATGTTTGAAATCTAAAGATTAGGTGTTTGATGTCGTTAAGGATTTCCATATTAGAGTTGAAAAAGAAACTGGTAGAAAGTTGAAATGTATTCAAACTAACAATGGTGGTGAATACAAGGGTTCTTTTAAGAAGTACTATAAGGAATATGGTATCAAGTTAGAAGACAATTCCTAAAACTCCACAATAGAATGAAATGGCTGAGAGAATGAACAAAACTATTGTTGAAAGAATTAAATGTATGCTCTCTCATGCAAAGCTGTCTAAGTCCTTTTAGGGTGAGGCAATGAAGACTGTAGTTGCCATGATCAATCTTTCTCCATAATTTCCTCTTGATTTTGATGTTCTAAATAGAGTTTGAAAAGGAAAGGATGTTTCTTATGCACACTTGAGAATGTTTGGATGTAGAACATTTATATATGTTTCTTAAGATGAAAGGTCTTAACTTTATAACAAGAAAAAGTAGTGCATTTTCTTGGGCTCTAAAAATGATGAGTTTGACTATAGATTGTGGGATCCAAAGGAGAAGAAAATTGTGAGAAGTAGAAATGTTATCTTCTTTGAAGATCAAACCATTGAAAACTTTGAATAGAAGGATAAAATAGAGTCTACTACTTTTATTACATCTAATTCAAATTCAAGATATACTCCACAGTTACTTTTTATGCCTGCTAATCATGGGATAGATTTGAAAAATGATAATAATGATGGTTTTCTTATTGAACCATTAGGTGGTGATCCTGAATCACCTAATAATGATATTAATGTTATTCCTAAATAGGATATGCAAGAAGTTTCAGATGAGCCACAATTGAGGAGGTCAACTAGGCCTCGCCAACCTTTCACCAAATATTCTTCTCATGAGTATATGCTGGTTACTGACGGAGGAGAGCCAAAATGCTTTGATAAAGCTATGTCACATGAGAAGAAAAGTAAGTGGTTGAAAGTAATGCAAGAAGAGATGAAATCCTTGCATGAAAACCATACTTTTAAGTTAGTAAAGTTTCCTAAAGGTAAGAGAGCACTCAAGAACAAATGGGTGTTTAAGTTGAAAATTAATGAACATTGCTCACAACCAAGGTATAAGGCAAGATTGGTTATAAAAGGTTTTGGTCAGAAGAAGGATATTGATTTTGAAGAAATCTTTTCACCAATTGTCAAGATGTCTTCAATCTAAGTTGTGTTTGGTTTAGCTGCTAGTTTGAATCTTGAAATTGAATAACTTGATGTGAAAACTACCTTTCTCTATAGTGATTTATATAAAGAGATCTATATGGAGCAGCTTAAAGGGTTTGAAAGATGTGAAAACTGCCTTTCTCCATGGTGATTTAGATAAGGAAATCTACATGGAGCAGCCTGAAGGTTTTGAAGTAAAAGGTACAGAGTAGTTAGTTTATAGGATCATGGTTATGACAGAATCATTTCTGATCATTGTGTATTTATGAAAAGGTTTTCAAATGAAAACTTTATTATTCTTTTATTATATATGGATGATATGTTGATTGTTGACCATAATGCTGAGAAGATTTGGATTCTAAAAAAAGAGTTAAACAAGTCTTTTGCAATGAAATGATGCTAAGAAGATTCAGATGTTGAAGGAAAAGTTGGGCAAAGAAGATTCAGATGTTGAAGGAAAAGTTGAGCAAAGTTTTTGCAATGAAAGACTTAGAACTGAGAAACTTTGGCTATCTCAAGAGAGATATATTTAAAAGGTACTTGAAAGAGTCCACATGAGCAACTTCAAACATGTTTGTTCTCCATTTGCAGGCCACTTTAAACTAAGTTATAAGCAGTGTCCTTCAAGTGATGAAGAAAAGAATGAGATGAAAAATGTTCCTTATGCATCGACAATTGGTAGCTTGATGTATGTCATGGTTTGCACAAAGAACAGTGTCCTTCAAGTGATGAAGAAAAAGATGAGATGAAAATGGTTCCTTATGCATTCGCAGTTAGTAGCTTGATATATGTCATGGTTTGCACAAAGCCAGATATAGCTCATGCAGTT